GGGGGGGGGGTTCCAGGGGCTTGAGCTGAATCTTAACCCAATGCCTGAGGATGTGTGCAGTGCCCGGGTGCCCTGGTCCTCTGCAGCCCGCTGGCCGAGTGTCACATGCCAGGAAGCCACTGAGCGGCCCTAGGGGCCATGGCGGGGCGGGGCGGGGGGAGGCCTGGGCCATGCCCTCCCTCCCTCACAGCAGCCACGGGCCGCCTCCCAGGGTCCTTGGTACCGACGTGGGCCTTTCTCCAGAGCCCTTCGTGCCCCCCCACACACACAGTGGTTGTGCCTTGCCTGAATGCTCTGCTTACCCCCTCTCCCCCCCCCCCCCCGCTTCCAGATCAGGTCCAGCCCTCAAGCTCAGTGCCTGCGCCAGCAAGTGCTGGGAGGAGAGCCTGATTGCTAAGCCGTGGCTTCCACTGGGGTTCTCCTCTGCCTCTGTGCCCTGGGCCTCCGTGAAGCCCTGGGGACCCTTCTCAGTGTAGCCATTGTTGGTTTGTTTGTTTTTGTTTTTTGTTTTTTTTGGTTGGTCATGGGGCATGAACTCTGGGCCTGGGCGCTGTCCCTCAGCTCTTCAGCTCAAGGCTAGTGCTCTACCACTTGACCACAGCCCCACTTCCAGCTTTTTCTGCTTATGTGGTGCTGAGGAATTGAACCCAGGGCCTCAGGCATGCAAGACAAGCGCTCTACCACTGAGCCACCTTCCCAGCAGCCCTCAATATAGCAGTTTTAACTCTTTGAAAATAAAATGCACAGGATAACACAGGAAACAATTGCATGGTGAAACGCCACTTTCAAAATAAGGCAGCGCATTGTGAAATGGGCCCTTTTTGCTGTTGGTGGTAGTCATGGGGCTTGAACTCAGGACCTGGTCTCTGACCCTGAGCTTTTTGCTCTAGGCTAGTCTTTACCACTTTGAGCCACAATTCTACTTCCTTTTTTTTTTTTTTTTAAGATAGGGTCTAATTGTGTAGCTTGGACTCCTGAGTTTCCTGTCTTGGTGTCCCCAACGCTGGGATTACAGGTGTGCCCCACCACACACACGAGGCCTAACACACCATTTTCTTAGCATGCGTGGTAACAAAGCAGCCTCTGATTGGAAGGCTGAGACGTTGGGCTTGTCTGCAGTGGCAGGAGTGTGACAGGGAGATCGGTGGCTCCGGTGGGCTGCCGTGGCTAGCCCTTCCAGGCATTGTGGCCCATACTTGTGAAGGGTATGTGCCTTTCACTTAGATGTTACTGAACAGAGAGACGGCCCAGAGGGTTCTGCTTTGTGGCTTGGTGGTCACGTGTCATAGCAAGGGTGGATAGGTGATTTTAAAAAACAAAAGAACAAGGTGCTTGCTGGGTGCTGGCTCTCACCTACAATCCTAGCTGTTGGGGAGGCTGAGCTAGGGAGGATCGTGGATTGAGGCCAGTCCAAGCAGAAACTCCGTAGGACTTTTCAACCCCATCAAAGCTGGCCATGCCAGCACACACCTATCATCCCAGCTATGCAGGAGGTCCTAAGTAGGAAATCCAGGTATGGTGATACACACTTGTCATCCGGCTATGGCAAAGCTTCAAATAGGCAGATCACAGTCTCAAGTCCTTGTGTCAGCAGGAACCGAGACTGTCATCTCAAAAACAACTGGTGAAAAGGGGTGGGGGTGTGGCTTAAGCGGTCATCAAGTACCCACCTTGCAAGCATGAGGCCCTGGACACAATAAATAGAGCAAGGTGCTCTCCAGGGACAGGAGATGCTGGTGCTGGTCTCAGCCACCCAGCCAGGCAGGCCCCAGAGCCCTGTGCTTCTCTCTGATTGGAGAAGTTGGGGTACAGCCCACTGACCTCCCCACCCCCACCCCCGGAATGTCCCATGCTAGCTCACACTGCCATCCTCCACCGTTCCTGTGCAGACAAGCTTCTCTTCCAGATAGCTCAGCCAGGCCGCCGTCCCTTGCTTCTCCTGTTTCTCACTATTACCACACCCCCACCCCACACCCTCCATCTTTTCCTTCCTCTCACTTCCTTTATTGCCCCCCTGCTTTGTCAGAAGCCCCTTCCTAAAGAAGCCTACCCCTCAATGATGACCTTCAAGAGGCTTGTGGCCAGTGCCTCAGTTTCCCCATGTACAGAATGGGAGAGGGGCCACACTGCCCCAGGCCTCAGGTGCATCTCGGGACAGGAGTCTGGACGCCTGTTGGCTGACATCAGAGAAATGAAGCCAGAGAACAAAGGGCTGAAAATAGCCCTTTATGTAATCGCCCTCCTGGTAACTGGGGTGGGGTTGTGTCTGAGAAACTGGGGGGCCTGCGGGGAGCCTCATTTGACTGAGGTGGCCTGGTCACCCAGGCAGCCCCAGGGCCTTGCTGTGTGTCCAGGGCAGGCCTCTGAACCCAGGGACCCCAAACTTCCAGGTCATTCCGTTCCCACAGATGCTCGGAATGAGACTTCTGAGAATCGGGGCCCTGACTGGGGCCAAGCCCACCCTGATGGGAAGAAGTGATTTGAATTGCTACTGGTTTGTGAAAGAGCAGGGGCAGGCGGAGTGGGGGGTGGGGAGGGGAGGGGGCTGAACCCTCCCGTCTCTTGAGGGGAGCAAGGTTTGGGTCTGAGATAGGGAGCTGGGTTGGGCCTTAAATAAGATTTGTCTTCCTGCCCCAGCGTTGTTATGTGACCTTGGGCTGGTGACCTTCCCTTTCTGATGTAAGCCCCCTTTGCTTCTTGCAAAGGTGCGGCCCCCAGGGGGTAGAGGAAGGGGCTCCAGCAAGGACCACACTGGTCCTGGCTGTGCTGTGACCTTGAGCCTCTGGAAGACGGTTGAGAGCAGTGCTGACACTGGCCTGCTCTCAGCCTGCTGGTGCCAGCTATTTTGGACGCGCAAGGAAGGCCGCTCAGAGACTGCTCAGAGCGTCTGGGTTCACAGATGGAGTCTGGCAGGGCGGGGCTCAGCCCTTCTGCTATTTGCTCCACTTCTGGCTCTCCCTCCTGCCTGTCCAACCCCCCCCACTCCCCACCCTCCCACCCCCAACCCCCTGTCGACCCCAGGATGCTGGGGATCCAGGGAAGGGGGCCAGGCCTGCCCGCAGTGACCACACCCTTGCCTTTTCTGGCTCTTGTGTCAAGCCTCTGCCTAAGTGGAGCAGGTGTGGGAGCAATCCCGACTTGGCTTAGAAGCCTCATCTGCTGTCAAATGACTGTGTGACCTCCGCCACGTCATTTCCTTCACTGAGCCTCCGTCAGAGCAGGTGTGACCAGGGTGAGCCACAGTGCCCACCTGGAGGTCCTGGGAGACCATGTGGTAGGGACATGGAGCAGCCAGCCTGGGGCCTGCGCACAGTAGGTCCTCCAGAGCACCACCTTCCCCAACTCCCTCCACCCTCAGTGTTTCTGGCTGAAGCCCAGGGTCAGTTTCCAGGGAGCACTGTGCTTGTGGTGGCCGTGGAGGGGTTCACCCCATGGGCCAGGACATGTTTTCAGGTTCTTTGATTACAGGGCAAGTGTGCAAGGCATTCTAGCTTCTAATGAGTGTGGCAATCACTGTACACATGTATACATACCTGTAAGGAGAGCTTTCTATCTATGAAAATACCAACTGGGTAAGAAAGTACTCCTGTCAGTTGACAGATGAGGAAACTGAGGCACAGAGTGGTTTGGTCATCCGCCCACCACAGCTAACAGAACTGGGTGTGATCGCATAGAAACCTCAGAGGTGGCAAAGGCAGAGCTAGCATCACAAACAGAAGGGGCCGGTGTCTGGTCAAAGAGAGCAAGTGCAAAGGCCCTGAGACCAAGCTGGAGGAGTATGGAGAAAGGCTCTAAGTCATTAAGGCACCAGGAGCACAGGGTTTGCAGATTCCTCTACTGAGTGAGGAAAGAGCCATGGACTGGGGAGACACCGCCGGACTTGCGCATCAACGATTGCGTGGGGCTCCTGGTGGTTGGGGAATTACGTCGGCTGAGGAGGAAAGCAAAGCAGGGGCAGGATGGGGCTGCCATTTGGGGTGGGAGCTCAGGTACAGCATGTGGGGGAGGCGATGTTGAAGTCTAGTCTTTAAGGGGGTGAGCAATCAGAACATCCCGGGCTCACTGCGCTGCAGAGCTGTTCCTACGGGAACACCTGACGTCCTGCGTGGCTGGAGGGACGTGGTGGAAGGCAGCTTGGACCTCATCTCCACGGCAACCTGCTGCCCCCAGATGCGGGCCCAAGCAGCCCACACTGGTGCTTGTCTGACTCAGAGCTGCCAGATTCACCAGCACCTTCCACCTCCCTCCTGTCTTACATACAACCTTCCCCCAACCCCTATCCCTGGTTTCCATCTTGGTTCAAGGCACCTGCTTCTGCCCTGTGCTGTGTGCCAGCTCTTCAATATCCAGCGCTCCCTTGAGAACCAAGGCTGGGGGGGGGCACCTGGAGGTGGGGGTTGGGCTGTAGGTCAAAACCAATGGGGTCCAGACAGACAGACTTACCGTGGCAGCTGAGAAATCCTGGCATGTGCCACTGCAGGCAGGGGACCCAAGAGAGCCGTTACCAGACTCCACTCTACGCCACGTGTCCAAGAAGTGAGCTGGGGCCAGGCCGGGGCCGGGGTCAGTCCCAGTGGCTGAGTTCTTGCTTGCTTACTGGCGCCTGTGAGGTCTAGTTTGACCTATGGTACTGCAAGTAAAATAAACGTGAACTCTTGAGAGCAGAAGACAGAGGCCCAGTGCCAGGGGTCAGCAAGCCCCCCCCCACTGCTGTTTTATTCCATCAGACCCTCCCCCCTTGGGGAGGGGGGGTTTCTCTCCTTGGTCTGCAGATTCCAGTGCTGGTTATTCCTGAGTCACCATCACAGTGATACCTTCTCTGTCATCTGCCCCTTGCCAGCCTAGCTTGACACCCAGTTAACCCCAGTGCAAGGGCCCATTGCCGGCCTGGGCTTGGGGATGGAGAGCAAAGGGCTACAGCAGTTTCAAGGGAGCCCAGCCACCCAGACACAACTCACAGGTCAGAAGTGGCCTTAAGGGAGCATGGTGTCACCAAGGGAATGTAGGGGAAGGAAAGGACATATTTGCAAAATGAGGTTTGTTTAGACTTTAACCTACCCTCTAGATTTGATGAGTAGAATCATGAAAGGGAGGCTCCCCTGGGTGCCTTCACCCCGGCCATTGTATTCTTTGGGGGTGAAGGAAGTGAGAGGTTGATTTACAGATGTTGAGCCCGGGATTCCCAACCCCAGACAAGGTACCCCAGTATCTCTAGGTAGTTCAGAGGAGGCATGGAAATGCTTCTAAGAAAAGTCCCAAAGAAAAATCAGCTTCAAGGCCAGGTGCTGGTGGCTGACACCTGTAATCCTAGCTACTTAGGAAGGTGAGATCTGAGGCTTATACTTCAAAGCCAGCCTGGGCAGAAAAGGCTATGAAACTCTCATCTCCAATTAGCCACCAGAAAACTGCCAAGTGATGCTGTGACTCAAAAGTAGTAGAGGATTAGCCTTGAGCACAAAAAGCTCAGGGACAGAGGGCCCTGAGTTCGAGCCCCATGGCTGACAAAAAAAAAAAAAATCAAACTTCAGTGTGGTTGGTAGGAGGTAGTACCTGATTATTTTCCTGGCTAAGTTTCTACAGAGTAGAGCCATCATGGGGGTCGCCCGAGCCACAGCAAGGGGTCTGCCATAAAGCCCCTGACTTTGGAGAACAGACTGGCTGTCTCCTAGACTCCTGACCGCTCAGCTGGTTTCCTGTCTGTTTCTAGAACACGCTCGACCTGGAGGAGACTGGTGAGGCCACCCAGGGCAGCGTCAATGCCCTCCCAGATGTGTCTGTGGTAAGGCCCTGGCCAGCCCATGGGCTGTGGCCACCTCCATCTGCCCAGGCGTCCCTGGGGGATGGGGAGCGGGGGGGTGGGGGTGGGGGAGGTAAAGGTACAAAGCAGGTAAGGGGGCCCTCTTGCTGTGAGCCCTCAGCCCCGGTGATTGGCCTGGGCCCAAGTAGGCACTCTGCCACCTCAGAAGGGGCCACTGGCCTCACTCTGCCTCAACTCTCCTTGCGGATGGAGTCCTCACTTCTGCTGTGTTAGCTGAACATTATCTCAACAACGTCACAGCAGCTACCTGGAGCATGAGGCCAGGATGCCGAATGACCCAATGTGGCTTTTGAGTGGCTTGCCCTCTAGAAACATGACTGGGATCATACCCCACCTCTTCCACTGCCTGTGTGACTTGGGGCAAGCTTCGAGCCTCCCTGCGCCTTTGCATTCCCATCTGTAACGTGAGGTTGATAACGGTATACCCTACACCAAGTAAAGTGTCTTGAGTGGGGGCCGTCAAAGCTACAGAAGCGCTGAGGCAGAGGGAACGAGGAATCCCGGGTACATACCTGCCATTCACGGCACACCTGCTACATCTCAGGCACCTTGCCCACGTCTGCACGTGACTCCTCACGTCCCCACCTGCGCTGCTGGTGGTTGGGCTATGCACGGAGAGGGAGGGCTTCCACCACACCACAGATCGTGTGTTCTTCCTCCTTCCATCCGTCCCCCCTCCCGGCTTATCACACCTCAACTCCGGGGCCAGATAAATGCCTTCTTGTGCCTTTCCATCCTCTTCTCCTGCCTCCAATTAAGTCTTGTTGCCCGTGACCAACCCTGAGCTATGCCAAGAACTTTTCATTCCCAGAGGTACCCCTGTGGACCCCAGAAATGCCTGCCAAGATCCTGGCACTGCCCGGCTTGCCAAGAAGCCCTGAGAAGTTTTCCACCGGGGCTTTGCATTATTTAGAGCGGCGTGGCCAGGAGCCAGTAGAGCAGGGGACTCGGTTCCAGCCAGGCCGGGCCTAGCTCTGCCCTGCGCTGCGCTGCCCTGTCGCTCCTCTCCCAGCCGCCATGGGCTCTGACTTCTACTCCTGTTGGGTCTTTTGGCAGGACGATGTCAAGTCCACCCCGGGCATGAAGCTGCCGCCTCCCGCGCCACCCCTGGCTCCAGGCCATGATCGCGGTGGCTCTCTGGGCCAGCAGTGGAAGCTGGGGAGGGAGGACCCGCGGCCTTCCTCTTCCTCCTCTGCCTCAAGCCCCCCACTGGGTGCCACTCCCGCCCTGGGGCCCTCCTCCACGCGGGACTCCCCCTCCTCTCCCATCTATGCCTCTGTCTCCCCGGTCAAGCCCAGCTCCAGGAGGCCGCTGGACGCCCACCTGGCCCTGGTCAACCAGCACCCCGTCGGCCCCTTCCCCAGGGTCCAGTCCCCTCCACACCTGAAGAGCCCCCCTGCAGAGGCCACGGGGGGCTGCCTTCCGCCGCCCTCCCCCTGCGACCACCCGGACCCTGCGAGCACCAACCAGCACTTCGTCCTGGTAGAGGTCCACCGGCCTGACAGGGACAGCGAGCCCGACGTGAACGAAGTGCGGGCCCTGCCCCAGACCCGCAGTGAGTACTCGGATTGCCCCCCTCCCCCAGCCCTGCGCTCCACGGGGGGCCCGGGTCCCAGTGTCACCTTGGATTCAAAACCCTTGAGTGTGAGTCCTGCTCCTGGCCAGCCTAGCCGTCACTGGCAGCCCTGTCTGATTAGAGCTGGCTGGCCTTCCCTGTGACAGCCAGACCAGGTGCCCACAGACACTGAGGGTGCTCAGCTCCCTCCTCCCCCATCCCGTCCCCCCCCATTGCCACCCTGCATTCAGGGGCCGGCCCTGAGCGGGGGCTAGGGCTGAGTGCCCCCTGCCATCCACAGTCAACCCCAGCTCAGTGTTGAGAGCTCAGTGCCCCCTGCGTCTCCTCCACTTGGGTTTTCAGCTTTTGAAAGCTGAGGAAGGGGACAAGGGACAGTGGCTTTTACTTCCTGCGTGGACCACGTTTCCAGAGTTGGGCGCTTTCTTGGGCTCTGCTGCCATCTGGTGGCTAGAGCGATGCGGGGGGGGCGGGTGGAGGGAGGGAGGGGAGCGGTCGTCCATATGCCAGTGTGCAGAGCAGGAGACTGCAGGTCGGGGCTGCACCTGGGAGGCTTTGGGACAGCAGAGAATAGGGATGTGCTGGAAACCCAGAGCCACAGGAGAGCCCTGTGGCTTGCCACAGGCCCATCCCTGAGCTGTACACACACACACACACCCATGCACACACACCCCACAGAAGCCACACATGCTGTCCCGCAGCCCACACCTGTGTTAGCACCCCTGGGAGGAGGTACTCTTACTATATCTGGTTTTAATTCTGAGGTGTTTTTCTTTTTTTAATATGTGTGTGCCATTATCAGGGTTTGAACTCAGGGCCGTGCACTGTTGCTTGGGTTGCTTGCGCATTTTATATGTGTGTGTGTGTGCGTGTGTGCCATTATCAGGGTTTGAACTCAGGGTCGTGCACTGTTGCTCGGGTTGCTTGCGCAAGGCTGGTGATCTGCCATTTGAGCCACACCTACAGTCTTGACTTTCTGCTGATGAGCTGGGCATGGAGTGGTCTGCCCGAACTAATTATGATCCTCAGCGCTCAGCCGCCTGAGTAGCTAGGATTACAGCTGTGAGCCATCAGTGCTGGGCTTACTATCCTTGTGTTAGGGTGAAGAAACTGAGGCACGGTGAGTCACCTGTCTTGCCTGCCTCTCACTGCTGGTCCTTACTCCCGTAGAGACTATAATGATTTAATGGGTGGATATCACTGTCCTTGTCGTAGCATGAGGAGAGGGTGTTTCACCATCTCAGGCACTCCCTGTGGATGCAGACCTCTCCTGTCAGTCACCAGTCAGGGTATGCTAGTCTCACGCACAGCCTGGCATTGCACACGGTGATGCAGTTCATTGGGCAGGAGAGGGTGGCTCATGCCCACTGCTCACCCCAGGCCAGGAGGGGCAGTGCAGGGCACAGGCCATGAGTGACCGAGGGCCTTTCATGTCTTCCTTGGGAAGCTACAAGCTTTTTGTTTTGTTTTGAACTCAGGGTCTAGATACTGTTATCAAGCTTTTTTTTTTTTTCTGAAGGTAAGAGCTCTTATAGTTCCATTTCTTATAGCTCCATTTTTTTTTTTATTTTGGCCTGGAGCTTGAACTCAGGGCCTGGACACTGTCTTGAGTTTTTTCACTCAAGCTCTACCACTTTGAGCCACAGCACCACTTTCACTTTTCTGATGGTTAATTGGACATAAGACTCTCACAGATTTTCCTGCCTGGGCTGGCTTTGAACCATGAATCCTCAGATGACAGCCTCCTGAGTAGCTAGGATTTTAGGTATGAGCCATCAATGCCTGACTACACAAGCTTATTTTCTTTTTTTTCTTTTTTTCTTTTCTTTTTTTTGTCAGTCGTGGGGCTTGAACTCTGGGCCTGGGCGCTGTCCCTCAGCTCTTTAGCTCAAGGCGAGTGCTCTACCACTTGAGCTACAGCACCACTTCGGGTTTTCTGGTGGTTTATTGGAGATAGGAGTCTCACGGTCTCTCCTGCCTGGGCTGGCTTTGAACCATGAATCCTCAGATCTCAGCCTCCTGAGTAGCTAGGATTATAGGCATGAGCCATCAATGCCCAACTACACAAGCTTATTTTCAATGTGAAGTCTTTTTTGTTGTTGTTATTGTTGTTGGTTGTTACTGTGTTACTGGAGATTGAACTCATGTCCTTGTACTTCCTAAGCAAGCGCTCTACCACTTGAGCCGTGTTTCTAGTTGTGAATTCTAAGTTGAATGTGTTGATCCATCATTAAAAATAAACAGCAACAGGACACTGGTGGCACATGTCTGTAATCCTAGCTACTCAAGAGGCTGAGATCACTATTAGCCAGCTCTATTAGGAAAGTTGGTGAGATTCTTATCTCCAATTAAATCACAGAAAAAGCTAGAGGTGGCGCTGTGGCTCAGGTGGTAGAGTGCTGAGCAAAACCTCAGGGCCAGCACTTAAAAAAAAATCAATTACATGGGCAACCCCTCTGTACAATATTTTCACAATTAAAAAAAAATGGCAAGAAAAAGAGTTATAGTGAATGTAAAAAGAGCAGATGAGATCCCAGAGCCATTATAGATAAAATTGTTGACATGATCTACATGAGTGTCTGCTAAGGAAATAAAAAGACGTTTTAAAGACAAAAAAAAAAATCAACAGCATTGTCTGAGGAATTGCAAAAAACAAGAACAAGAAGCCTACACCTGTGGGCTAGCTTTGCCTGCTGCCTTCTCTTTTCATCCTTACACCAGTAGTTGAGGACTTGGGGCCAGGCAGAAGTCCTGGGAAGAATGATCTTCAGACCAGGCCTTTGGAAGGGCAGGCAGGCAGGAGATGGAGAGGGGAGCTGGGAGCAGCTTTGTCTTCCAGCCCATTGATTCTGGCCTGGAAGAATTCCACTGGTCCCTCAGCCTGAGCTCCAGCACCACCGCCTGGCACCCCCCCTTCCCTCATTGTTGCTGTCCTCCTGCTCATCCCCCAGCAGCCTCCACACTCTCCCAGCTCTCGGACAGCGGGCAGACTCTAAGCGAAGACAGTGGTGTGGATGCCGGGGAGGCAGAGGCCAGCGCCCCAGGCCGAGGCAGACAAGCAGCAGCGCCCACCAAGAGCAGGAGTAGCAAGGAGCTGCCTCTGGCTGAGAGGACCCCGGAGGGGGCTAGCAAGCCGGTGAGGAGGGGATGGGGCTGGGGTACAGAGGCCTGAAGGAAGGCAGGGCCCAGGGAGAGAGTGAGGGCCGCCCCCCCAGGGACCAGGATGCAAGTTGGCCACTGTCCAGCAGGGATGGTGGTGAGACTCCATCCCAGGAGGTGCCAGAGGAACATGGTATGGGGAATCTGGAAGCCCTGTTTAAGTCTCAGTTTACCACTGACCCCAAATGGCAAAGTGCTGAAGGCTGCCCTTGGGTATCTTTGGGGTCCCCTTCATTGAGGTTTCATGGTGGGGTGGTGGCCGAAATGGCTGTTAGAGTAGGACAAGTCGGGACAAGTCCCTACCACAGCAGGCCAGCCTTTGTGAGGATCAGAGCTGAGGAGACCGTGGGTTTCCCTTGATCCTGGCCCTGTGTGAGGCTCCAGCAAGGCCATGGGGGTGACATGGCCTAGCACCTGGCCAGGCCTGCTCTGCACAAAGCTTCTTCCTCACACCTGCAGCCCGGCCTCCTGGAGCCCACGTCCACCCTGGTCCGTGTGAGGAAAAGCGCTGCCACCCTGGGCATCGCCATCGAGGGTGGTGCCAACACACGCCAGCCTCTGCCCAGGATCGTCACGATTCAGGTACAGCTCCTAGGGTCCCCCTTTCCATCTGTCTAGCTCCGAAGGTACCTTTCTGAGCTCTTCTGCTACATCCTGGTGCCCAACCCTCCCATTTCCTGACCTCAAGTTTCTTGAGGTATCCAGCAAAGAATCCTACCCTCTCCATCCTGGCCCAGTGGGCCAGGACCAGTGCAGGGCTCACGTGCCCTTGGCCCTGCCCAGTCTCAGCTTCAACCATGGTAGTGGAATCTCAATGGTAGTAGCAGTCCGTTCATTGGGTGTTAAAGCCCCTCACCTCTCAGGTGCCCTCCATGATTCTGCCTTGTGTCCTCTGCAGCGAGGGGGTTCAGCCCACAACTGTGGTCAGCTGAAGGTGGGCCACGTGATCCTCGAAGTGAACGGACTGACACTTCGGGGCAAGGAGCATCGGGAGGCTGCCCGCATCATTGCCGAGGCCTTCAAGACCAAGGACCGAGACTACATCGATTTTCTGGTTACTGAGTTCAATGTGATGCTCTAGGGGCCCACCCACCCCCAGGCCCATCCCTTCCCTGTCCTAGCCAATCAGACTCTTTGAGGAGTCAGTGCTACATAGCCAGGGTACCAGGCTAGCATCCTCCCTCCACCTGGACTACTGGACCACAGAAGGTCAGGTCAGAATCCTCTGTGTGTCAGGTGCACAGTGGGTGCCTAATTCAAGTGAGGTATGGGAAGGGAAGAAACGAAGAGGGAGGGCAGAGCGTTCGTTTCTCTGGGTTGAGTGTGGACAGTAAGTGAGACCCAGCCAGCCCCCAGGTGCCTGCATCTTGACCTGAAGTGAGGTCGCCGGATTCCCAGCACCACTTCCCGCTAGAGGACTTCTTGCAGGACCTTCATTGCCACAAACAGGCATCTAGCTCACCCACTCACACTTCCGGCCACCCAGCTCCTTATCCCCTTGCTATTTATTTATTGCCCTCCCCTGCACTCCGGGGACACCTAGGCCCCAGCTTCCCATCGTACCCCTAGCCTATCCCAGAGGCCTTGCAGGTGACCAGTGTATTTATATACAGAGCTTATGACTTTAATTTTTCAATAAAGAAATCTAAACAGGGCTTGGGGTCAGCATGCCGTGTGTCTGCCTGCAGGACTGGACTTTTGATTGTTCCTTCCTTGTGGAGAGAGTTGGGAGGTGGGTAGGACAGAAGAGGGGCTCGGAGCATCACATACCAACACCCCTGAGGCCTTCCTTGTGGCTCAGTTGGGGATATATGTGGCACCTGAGTGTCACCTGTGTCTGACACCTAACTTGAAGGTTTGAGGGTAAAACTTAAATACATAGTTATGTGCACACTAAGTCACACAAGTGTATCGTAGGACAGAACACACAAGGCACAGGAATATTTGAACCACATACCAGTAGGTCTTGGATGGGTTTCCAGAAGGGAACTCTGAGACCTAGATTTGTAGACAGATGACTGCTTAAGGAAGGACAGGGAGGGAAGGAAGCTGTAGGACCAGGGGATTCTAGACACTAGAGTCCCCAGAAGCCAGCTTCAGGAGACCCCAGGGAGACCTAGAATTGTTTCCACTCACAGTCAGAGGCTGGGCGATCCTGCCTGTCCATGCTTCCTGGCCCAGCAGCCAAGGGCAGAGGTGGGCGGGAGCAAATTGGGTCATGGGCAGGAAGCATAGGGTGGTGGCAAAATGTGGCCTGTTGTGTGGCCTCAGAGACAGCTCCCTACTGTCCCCAAGAAGAGCTTAACAAGTCCTGCCTTGCCATTCTGTGTCTCAGGCTCTGCCAGAGCTGAACTAGGGACAGCAGCACCTTGGTTGTGTTTGAAACCCCCCTCTGCTGTAGCTGTTTTCTGGCCACCTGAGACCAAAGCTACAGATTTCCCTGGGTGACCCCAGAAGGCCCTCTTAAGGGGACTCTTTCCCCTTCCTTACACACACCGTCTGCCTGCTCATGCTCTCTCCCTTCCTGCTGCTTCATCAAGCCTCAGACCTTTGGGCATCAGATTCTAGTTCACATCCTGTGGAGTCAGGGACACATGATTTCCCGAGCCTCATGTTCCCTTGGAAAAGGTGTCTTGGTGGGCTGAATAATAGCCCCTCCTTCTCACCCCCAAATATGACTATCTTGGCATACCTGGGGCCTGTGCAGGTTGCCTTATGTGACAAAAGAGTTGTATCTGTGATGCCAAAGCCACAGGAGATGGTGCTGGATGGTTTAGATTTGAGCAGGGTCCATGTCATCACAAGAGTCTGTACAAGATGGAAGCAGAGCCAGGTACAGTGGCACCTACCTGTAACCCCAGCCACCTGAGAGGTGGAGACAAAGGGTCATGATTTCAAGATAGCCTGGGCAAAAATGAGACCCCCATCTTAACCAATAAAAAAGCTGGATGTGTTGGTATGTGTCTGAATTCTCAGCTGTGTGGGAAGTACAAATACGAGTATCGAGGTCCAAGCTAGACTGGGCATAAATATATGACTCTACTCAAAGCAAAAAAGGCTGGGAGTGTGACCCAAGTGAAAGGAACCCTGCCTAGCAAGCACAAAGCCTTGAGTTCAACCCCCTAATACCACACATACTTTTTTAAAAGGGAGGTAGAGGGCCAGGTGTTCAGGAAGCTGAGATCTGAGGATATCAGCCCTGGCAGGAGCGTCCAGGAGACTCCTATTTCCAATTAACCACCAGAAAACAGGAAGTGGAGCTGTGGCTCACGGTAGCAGAGGGCTAGCCTTGAGCAGAAAAGCACAGGGGCAGCACCCTGGCCCTGAGTAAAAGCCCCAGGAAAAACAACAACAACAAAAACAACAACAGAGAGGCAGAGGGAATTTGGCACAGAGAGGAGAAGGGGTCGTGATGATGGGAGAAGTGGGGGAGTGGAAATTAGAAACATACTTTGATGAGGAGGATTACTTAAGCCAAGGGATGGAGGCAGTTTTTAGAAACTGAAAAGTCCTGGAGAAAAATTCCACACACACACCCCCTCCCAGTCTCTAGAAGGAAACTGCCCTGAGTCTCATTTCAGATTCCCAACTTCTTTATGAGAGAACAAATGTGTGTTGTTTGAAGCAACTAAAGACAGGGTTTGCCCCGGCCTCTGTAGGAAACCGGAAAGAGATATCATGAGAACACGGACTGCTTACCTTGTGTGTGTGGGGGGGTGGCTGGTGGGGGATAGGATATCCTGTGGAGTCACAGCAGGCCCAGCAGCCCTAGGGTCTGGATTCTGGGTATGATATGATGAAGAAAGAAGGAGTCTGGCCCTTGTGAATGAATGCCCTAGGCCCTGAGTGTCTGTTCTTTACAAACTGGGCTATCCCTGGTTAGCCATGGGAACTTGATACTAGCCACTGACCAGCCCTGTGATCTTCAGGGTAGAGTATGTCATCCCTGCGTCAAATCTACTATCTTCCTACTTGGTCCAACTCCAGGGGGACAGACAGCTCCCCAACATCCCAAGTCTGTGCTTGTGAACGCGTAGTTTCTGGAACTGTTGCTTCCAAAATTTCTGAGCCTGTGATGGTTAGGTGTTCCCCAACCAAGTTTTAGATTCCAAATTTCCCCTTCCAATAGGTTTTTTAACTCCCCAAATGCCTCTATGGCTGAGCTGGAAAGGTAACTTTGAGCTAGGTGTGAGGAGATGGAGGGCAGAAGGTGAACAGAGTTTTCAATATCTGGAGCATGGAGCTTTCCAAGCTGAGTTAGCTTAGATAACATTTAAGTCCCTTGGCAGAGGAAAAGTGGGATGCAGGTAGCCCCAGATGGGAGGAATACAAGAACAGAGAACGAGGCAAATCTCAGCATCACATTTTTGGATCAAATTCTCCTTTGCTGGGAAACCATAGTTGTCAGTAGATTGCCAGTCCTTGTACAGGAAGCAAAATGTTGACCTAATTTGTAGATTATTGCACTGATTAGCTGGATTGTTTGGCTCTGACACCAGAGGCCTTTAGAGATAACCTGCTGCTGTGATTGCTGCTGGATAGTGATTTGGAGGGAGAACCCGGTAGCTGGGGGCAGGCTGAGAGAGCCATCTTCCAGGAGGAGAGAACTGGGCACACTACACAGCTAGATGAGAATTTGGGACAAGTCACTTTCTGCAGTGATTATGTTAAATTAGTACCTATATGAGGCTGAACTATATGTATTTAGTCAGTAGCCCCATTTTGTGTGTGTGTGTCTTTGTGTGTGTGTGTCTGTGTGTGTGTGTCTCACTGCCCTTCTATACTCCTTTCACCTGGACTTCCTGCCCAGATTTCCATGTTTATCTAATAGTGGCTGGAACTAGAAGATAATCTGGGGTTAGGGTCATAGGGGTTAATAATCGCAGCTGCTTACAGCAGAGAAGGCCTGACACCTAATGAGTTCTCAAGAAAGTACTATTATTGTTATAAATCAGTCGGCTTCTGCCATGAAAGTTTGTGATTTCTTCCTCCTGGTGGCTCCACGCACATCACTGGTCGCCCGCCAGGCCTCAGTCTCTGCAGCAGACTTGACATTTGCAGTCATCATGGGCGTGCTCTCCAACTATGGAGATTCCGGGGGCGGGGCGCAGGCAGCTGCTTCACTACGATTGGTGGGTCTTCCTGCGGCCCCGCCCACCAGGGTCCGCCTCCTCTCCCCTCCCCTTTGGTTTGGCCCGCCCTAGGACATTATGCAAAGCAGCCACGCCCCGCCCTGCCCGCGGATTGGAGACCTTTGTCTGCCGCTCAAGTCCAGGAAACTGCAGCGCGGGCGGCGGCGGCGGCGGCGGCGAGCAGGTGGGTGCGGGCGCGGCGCGTGTGCGCGGGTCACTGAGACTCAGTTTCTCAAAGAGTGGGGCGCAGGGTTGAGCGGGGACCTGAGGGGCTCCATCGCACCGGGCCGGAGCCGATTGCCAGCCTGAGCCCCACGCGCGCGAGGAGGACACGGATTGCGGCTCCGGGAATGGGAGGGACCTGGGCTCGCGATCGGGGCCCGAGTAGGGGGCGGGAGGAGTCCCCGATCGGGGGGGGGGGACGGACCCCGAGTGTGTGCGGGATTCCCAGGCTCCGCCCCTCCGGCCTCCGTCTCCTCCTCCGCCTAGGGGGCGCCTTGGCTTTGTCCCTCCCGCGGGGCCGGGTCGCCGGGGGCGGAGGGGTCTCGGGGGAGCCGGGTGGTCCTGGGCGGCGCCGCGGGCTGAACCGGGCCGGAGGCGGGGCCCGGGTTGCTGGGGTGACGGCGGCTTTGCTCCTGCCCCGGGATTTGTGTGAGATTTGGTTCACCCGGCAACTGCGCGGCAACCGGGCCGCTCGGAGCCGCGCGCCCTCCCTGGACGCCTCACGCAAGTTTCTTTTCCTCTTTTTTTTCCCCTTGGCTGTGTGTGGTGGTCGAGGGGAGGATGGGGAGCGGGGCAGAGCCAGGGCCAGCGTGGGGTGGGCAGGCTCCCCCGAGATTGGAACCGGAACGAGCTGCCAAAACTAACTGCAGTCCCCTCTTGCTACGCTGGGGGAGACTGGGGCCCAGAGAGGAAGCGCGGCTGGCCCCAGGGCGCACAGCAGGGAGGAGGCGCAGGCCCGGGTTAGATGGGGCTCCGCGGGCAGAGCCTGAGTCTGGTTGTTCTGTGACCTTGGATGAGACTCTTTCTATGCTCCTTTTTTTGGCTTTAGTTGAAAGGAACGACTAGGTGTCACCTAGATTAAAACAACACACACCTTTCTGCCTCTGAGGAAGAAAGTTGGAAAGATGCTGGCAACAACACCCAGGTGTCTTAGAGCCCAGAAGTTGTGACAGGCTGCTGTGGGAAGAGACATTGCCCCTGCCCTCTAGAAGTAGCCTGAATTTGAAGTGTGGAGAGCTGAGCTGAGCTAAGGTTCCGTACGTGAAGGGACTTCCCGAAAGAATTTTCCAGGTTCCTTCTCTGAAGTTGGTGGGTTTTATGTGGGCAGCTGTTTTAAGGCAGCAGTGACTCCCCGTGGGCTTATTGGGGTCGAACTCTGGTTTACTCATCCCCCACAGGGAGGAGCCTGTGGTGTTTGGGGGTGATCTGGGCAGCCTGATCTTTGCAGGAGGGAGAAGAAGGTACCCGAAAGTGGCCCATACTCCCAGAGACCAGCTGGTTTGCATTTGAATCA